AAATTATCTAAAAACACAATATAGATGGTACTTAACATCAGAAAAATTATCCAAGATTTATAGAAATAATAGTGGAAATTGTTGGAACTGTCTGAAAGCAAAAGGTACCTACATGCATATGTGGTGGGAATGTAAAAGATATCAAAATTATTGGACACAAATACATTCAGAAATAGAGAAAATATTAAGTATCAAGTTGAATAAACATCCCACCACTCTTCTATTAGGTATAATAGATGAAGAAACGGAAAAGAAATTTGGAAAAATTTTGTTCTATATGTTATACGCTGCAAGAACTGTAATTGCAAAGAAATGGAAAAACAAAGAAGCCCCTAAGCTGCTAGAATGGCAATACAAGTTGTATGATACTATGGAAATGGATAAGCTGACAACTTCTTTAAAGGGACAAAGTAGAAATAAATTTGAAAGAGATTGGTCCCCGATTACGAACTACTTTAAAGAATTGTGGGGGGGGGGGAAATGGAGTGATTGCTCTGAGAGAAGGATGAAAAGAATATAGTAACCAGGGTGGAGCATATAGGAAATATACAAGATGTAAAAGTGAATGATTAGCCTCGGTAACAAAAGCAGTTGTTCAGAACAATATGTATGGTGTGGTACAGATAATGAAGAAAGTGGCTAGATATACATTTGAGAAAAAGATAAAATTTAATACTAATAATGAGCAGATTATAAGATCAAAGGGAAATATAAGAAAGTCAATATAAATAATCAATGTATATTCTTAGTAAAGGAAGGGAAGTCTTTTTTTATGTTAGTATATGTTTGTTTGTTTTGTAAATGTATGACTTAGATGTATGTATAGTATGTTGTATTTAAATTTTAAGATATGAAAAAAAAAGAAACTGGGTTGGATGACAAAAGAACATTCAACTGAACTAAGTTTTAAATGGGAGATATATAAGAAATAGAAAAGGGGCGAAATCACTAAAGAGGAATTCAAACAAATAGCTAGCACATTCAGGGCTAAAGTCAGGTAAGCCAAAGCACAGGATGAGCTCAGGCTTGCTAGAGGGGTTAAGGACA